GATTGAGATTCGCCTTATGCTTGCGAGTACTTGTGTCATTAGCATTCGTAGTATCATTCGTACGATTATGTATCGTCTTCGTAGTCTGTATATTACTATTCGAGTAGTCGTATTATGCCTGTTCGTATTGTTATCCTTGTCAGTCTTATTCGTATCATTCTTGTTGTGGTTATTATTATGTTAATTCCACGTTGCGTGTGTCACCCTCGTCCGCGCACATTCCTGGGGCCATAACGCGCACCCCCCCCAATTGGACATCCCCCTCATGGACGCCACCGAAAACGGCCGCGGCGCCCGATACGTCCTCGAGGCCCGCCTGCTTTCAGAGATTCCCGATCTTGTCCTCGTCCGATGGGGGGGGGGGAGAGGAAGAGCCGGCCACACGTCGGAGTGACCCTCGGCCTGCGAGACCTTTGGTGCGCGGCTTTCGGAGAGCGCGGGGGGCGAAGCGTGAGCCCGCGGGCCGCCACGTGCCGCATCGCAGGCAAGGGTCGGTGGAGAGGAAGCTGCAGGAGGGAGACGACCAGCACCACGACGACGACGACGACGACGACGATAGCGAGGCAGGCGAGACAGAGCCGGCAGAGCGCGCGCGACGCGCGGAGGGCCCCCGGGGGCCGCCGAGAGGGCCCGCGGTAGCCTCCGAGCGGCCTCCGAGGGCCGCTCCCGAGGGCCTCTCGAGCCTCCGAGGGGGGCCCGGGGGCGGCCCCGACGGCGGCCTCCGAGGGGTTGCGGTGGCCGCCCGCGGCACTGCCTGGTGGGTCCTGGTGCCCTGGCGAGGAGGTCGTCGTCGTCGTCGTCGTCGTCGTCGTCGCCCCCACCTCCAAGTCCCCCTCCCCCCACCCATAGGGGGCCACATGCGAACCCTACCCCTACCCCCCACGATTTCTGGGGGGGAGGATTTCGAGCGAAGTGAACCCCACCCTCCCCCTCAGAAATCGTGGGGGGTAGGGGTAGGGTTCGCATGTGGCCCCCTAACCCACCCCACCTCCACGTTTACCTCCGCATCCTCCTTCTCATGGGGATGGCTGCCGCCCCCGCGTCCGTGAGCGTCCAGTCTGGTGGGCTGCAGCTTGCACCTGGGAGCGGTGCGGATGGCGGCCTGCCGGCCCGCTGACCACGTCCCCGGGCGCCCGGCGGCACTTGGGCCGCTCGGGCCCCGGCCCAGGGGGCGGACTCCGAGCCGTCCCACTGGTCGGGGGCGGAAAAGAGGGGGGTGATGACTAGGGGGGGAGGGATATCATGGCGGGGGTCATGATATTTCCCCAGATTTCATAGCGCCTCTTCTTATTTCATTCCGTCCCTGGCCCCCCCGCTGGGCCGCGCACATGCCGCCGGTCATGATCTGCACCCCCCCTCTTGGACACCCCCCTCTTGGCCGCTCCCGAACTGGAGGATCCTGGGGGCCTGGGCCGATCCTCGAGTTGTTTGTTTGTGCACCACAGCCTCCCCACCCCAGTCAGATTCCGCCTCACGGGGCTGCGTCTACTATGTAAGGAACCTGGCGCGGCCCCAAGTAGGGGAAAGCTTCCCAGTGCGTGGTGGACGTGTTTGGCATTGCTTCGCAATGCTTCGCATTGCTTCGCAATGCTTGGCAATGCTTGGCATTTCTTGGCATTGCTTCGCATTGCTCCGTATTGCTTCGCACTGCTTGGCATTGCTTCGCATATGCTTGGGGAACCCGGGGAGCCCAGGGAGCCCGAGGAACCCGGGGAACCCAGGGAATTGGGGACCCCGAGAAACCCGAGGAACCCAGGGAACGCGGGGAGGAACTTGAGGAACCCGAAGAACTTGGGGAATCTCCGGGGAACGGGCAAAGCAGCACCCCCGAGTCACCGAGGGCGGGGAGCCCGAGGATCCCGGGGAACCTCCGGGGAACGGGCAGAGCAGCACCCCGAGACAAACATTCTTCTTCACCAGGAAGAGCCAACCCGTTTAGGCAGGCCTACTCGGGGAAAAGCCACGCCCTGGGCTTGGCATCGCTCGGACGTGTGCATCTTTCCTTCGGCGAGGACCATCGAGGAGCATCCTTGATCATTTGGCGAAAAAGCCACGCGCGAAACCGAAAAAAACACAGGGAGTGGACGTCCGAGCGATGGCCACTGGGAGGGATTTGTTGCACACCGGGCCCGCGCCCAGGGCCCTCGCCCCCCCCCCAGGGCTGTGGGGCACACTGATGGCACGTATCGAGCCGAGGCCGGCCTCCAGGAGGCGAACGCCCAAAAGCCGGCCCCCGAGCCACGATCCTCACCAGAATCAGGAGGGAAAAAACACACACACACAGACACAATTCATCGCCGATTCCCCAGAAAAGATAGGGGAAATATGGGAAATGGGGGGGAAGACAAACACCCAGAAGATACGGGAAAAGATAGAGAATCCTGTTCATTGTGTGTATTTATTTGTGTGTCCCAGGGCCCCTTCACAGAACCTCGACCGTCGAGCCTCGGGCCTCTCGATACTCGCCGCGGGAGCTGGATCCTCACCCTGCGCCCTCTGGTCGATCGTGGAACCTCGGTCTTCGGTTCCCGCCAAATTCCTCGGTCCTCGCAGGGCTAAGTCGGGCCTGTCCCTCTACACGAGGAAAATTCAAACATAATCAAACAATAGTCTGGGGGCGATGTTTGGAATATTGTTTTATCATGTTCGAATGTGTTTTGACTGTTTTCATTCATGCCCGACCTAAGGCACACATCTTTGGCGACGAAGACGAGGCTTGTCGCCGTGGGGGTCGGCGGCAACGAGCCCGCTCAAGACACGCCGAAGATGCGCACTGCAGGCAAGGAGCTCACTAAAGGCAAGCCCTGTCGCTGAAGGCACACATCCCTGGCGACAAAGACGGGGGCGGTCGCCGTGGGGGCGGGCGGCAACGAGCCCGCTCAAGACACGCCGAAGATGCGCACTGCAGGCGTAGAGCTCACGCAGGGCAAACCACGGTCGCCGAAGGCACACCTCTTCGGCGACGGGCCAGCGGCGAATCCATGTTCGCCCTCGTGATGTTCCAACCTACTTTAGCCCTGGTCACCAGGCAGAACTTCGAGCACCAGGGAAGTACCGAAGTTGGAGGGTTTCACGTATCGGGCCCTGGGAGGCGCTATTCATTCGACACTGCCTCGATGCTTTTCTGGGTGCTGGAAATTATTTCTGGGATGTGGTCCTTAAGTACGATGGGGGCAACACAAGCTCGCCCTTGGGAAGCTCGTTGCCGCCGTCCCGTGGCAAGCGAGCGCTGTCTTCGATGAATCGGTGCGCAGTTCTGTTTGCCTTCGGCGGCCTTTTCCGGCGGCGCGGCAGCCACCCGCGTTGGCATTCGGGGCTCGAGGTGCCCGCCAGTGCCCACCCCCTCCCTCGAAGAAGCAAAAACGCCACAAGCAGAAACTGTTGGCGCTCCGCGCGGCTTTCTTCGACCCGCGCTGGGGCCCCCTGGCGGCGCCTCCGGAGAGTTCCCTTTTCCCCAGTCTCCCCAGTCCCTTTTCCCCATTCCCCAGTCACCCCCTCCTGTCAGCTCCTCGGCTCAACTTGGTGAATTCCCTTGGGGCGCGCGCGCGGTGGCGAAGATCGTGAGGAGGTGCGGAGCGCCAAAAGTTCCTGCTCATGGCGTGCTTTGCAGCCACGCGCAGAGGGGGGCGCGGGGAGGGGGGAGGAGGGCTTCTTGGAAGCACCCCTGCTTCTTAGAGGGGGCTGGCCTTCTCTGCAGATGCAAGGCCGGCGCCCTCTAGGAAGCAGCTTCCTTCTAAGAAGCCCTCCCCCCTCCCTCCCTCCCCCAGGTGCGCACCGCCGAGTTTCCTGCCACTCCTGCGGCCCGTCGCCGCGCGGGGCGCCTCTCTGGCGGCGCGGGGCGCTGCGCGGGCGGAGGGGGGGCCGGGCGGCGCGCGGGCAGGGCGCGAGCGGCAGCCCCGGCTCGGAGCCGGCTGGGGGGCCGAGGTGGGGCATCGCGGGTGCCAGCCTGAAGTCGGGCGCGTCCCCCTACAGTCAGGTCGGGCCTGTCCCCCTAATGACAGGCCGATTGTCAAGGGAAAATAACAGATGGTTCAAAAACAGTTCAAGGATGATCAAGACATATTCCAAAATCGTTCCCTGATTCCCCACATGTTTCGTGGGGGTCTGGTTTTTTCCCTGCCGCGCCGCACCCGCGTCTCACCTTGTCCTCCTCCCCTCCTCCCTCCTCCCCTCCTCCGCTTGCTTCCTCACAGTTCAGCAGAGCACAGCACAGCACAGCACAGCTCAGCACATGCACAGCAGCGTAGGGGGTGCGTAGGGGCTGGTCTCTCACGGCGGCCGCTATCCGTGACGGTCGTCCAGGGCACAGCAGGCATGGCATATTCTCGACAGCGTAGGGGGTGCGCAGGGGGTGGTCTCTTACCGCGGCCGCTATCCGTGACGGTCGTCCAGGGCACAGCAGGCATGGCATATTCTCGACACCATAGGGGGTGCGCAGGGGGTGGTCTCTCACCGCGGCCGCTATCTGTGACGGTCGTCCAGGGCCCAGCAGGCATGGCATATTCTCGACAGCGTAGGGGGTGCGCAGGGGGTGGTCTCTCACCGCGGCCGCTACTCGTGACGGTCGTCCAGGGCCCAGCAGGCATGACATATTCTCAACACCATAGGGGGTGCGCAGGGGGTGGTCTCTCACGGCGGCCGCTATCCGTGACGGTCGTCCAGGGCACAGCAGGCATGGCATATTCTCGACACATTAGGGGGTACGCAGGGGGTGGTCTCTCACCGCGGCCGCTATCCGTGACGGTCGTCCAGGGCACAGCAGGCATTGCATATTTTCGACACCATAGGGGGGTGCGCAGGGGGTGGTCTCTCACCGCGGCCGCTATCCGTGACGGTCGTCCAGGGCACAGCGGTATCGGCGGGGCGACGGCCACCAACATCATTCTCACATGCTTCACTTCAGCTCTCATCACTCCAGCCATAATATAAGTATGTGGGGCTCCTCGTCAGCGCAATTGTTTTTTACGATGTTTGAGTATTCCTCCTGTAGAGGGGCAGGCCCGACTGAAGTCGGGCGTGTCCCTCTACAGGAGCAGCGTTCAAAGATGGCAACAAGATAATCGGGGGACGATGTTTGATTATCTTTCTGACCTTTTTGGTGTATTTTTGGTGTGTATATATATATACATACATACATTTTATTGTTCGTCCGAAATCCCCCTGCAGGGGGACACGCCCGACCCAATGCCAGCCGCCAGCCGAGGGGGGGCCCAGAGATCCGAAGATCTGATGTTTGCAAGCCGGCGGTCTCTCCTGGATTGCAGCCTGCGGGGCCCGTTCTCGAGCCCGGGGAGGCCATCAAAAATGGATCTGGGACGAGAAACCACCCCCAAGGAGGAGGAGAAAGGGAGGATAAGGAGGAGGAGGAGGAAAAGGAAAAGAAAAACAGCAACGACGACGACGACGACGACGACCACGAGGACGCCAGAGTGCCCCGTGGCCCAGGCTCCCCACATCGTGTTGAGCTCGTCGGCGGGGGAGGGGTCGGAGATTTTCGGGGCGCGGATTGAAAGAAGCAGATCGACGGGCGTGTGGGGGGGAGGCACCACTGCGGTTGTTCACCGTCGCAAGAGGCGCCCAGTGGCGGAGGAGGGGGGACACGACGCACGAAGGGAAGAACGACCAGGGGCGAAAGGGGCCCGAGCATCCGCTGACATGACTTTTCCGGTCCGCGGCCCCAGAGGTCCCGACCCCTTTCCGGGGGCCGGTTTTTCGTCCCGGATCCATGTTTGATGGCCCCCAGGCCCGATGATGGGTTCCGGAGGCCGAAATCCGATTGGATCGAAAGAATCACATCCTCAGAACGATAGGGGCCTAAGGACGAGGTGCCTCAAGCTACGTGAATCCACCCTTGGATCCCTTCCTAGCCGTAGGTCCCCATCCTTCAGGATCCCATCTTTGAACCGCCGAAGGGAGGAGGGAGGAGGGAGGGAGGGAGGGAGGGAGGGAGGGAGGAGGGAGGGAGGAGGGAGCCTCTTGCGGCTGCACGTCAGCACGCACGTGGATCAGGCGATCGCAACCATGGATTCAGGGGGCGTGGATTAGCGACGGGTCCCGTTTCCATGGGAAATCGCGGATTCCCGCCGCCGAGCGAGGCGGCACCGGCCGCATTTTGGGGAGGGCACCTCCCTCGATCCATGGACTTGGCGACCGCGCGCCAACTCCGTGGATCGCTGATCCATGTGTGCGCGCCCCCGAGTGGAGGCCTGCATGGTCTGAGGTTTGCTAGGGGGGAGGGACGCTCGCCCGCGCGCGGGCTCAGCCGCCCGCCCGGGGCCCGGGCAGCCCGCGGCGGGCAGGAGGCGAGACGGCTCGCCTCCGCCTAGGCGAGTCGCCCGCCGGTGGGGGGCCGCAGCAGCGCTGCGGCCGCGCGCTGCGGCCGCGCCGGCGCGAGCCGAGGTACCGCTGCGCCGAAGTCGGGCGTGTCCCTCTGCAGGAGGAGTATTCCAAAGAATCGAAGAATAGTCGGGGGACGATTTTGGTTACTCGGTTTGGCCATTTTCCGTTATTTGTGTCGTATAATTAAGTTTTCGCTTATATCCGCCTGTAGGGGGACATGCCCGACCTAACACTGCACGCATGTTCCGTTCCCTGTCCCCAGACGTCCGACGCATTGAAAAAATCAAGTCGGAGGTTTTTCCCAATTTTTTGCCTCTAGCGGCCCTCGCCGAGCCCAGGGACCGCTAAAACACGACTCAGGATGAAAAGCCGGTCCTGTGGAATGGGTCGGGACTTCCAGGGACCCCGTATGGAAAAAATCACGACATCGGATCTCTGGGACTGCACGCATGTTCCGTTCCCTGTCTCCGCCATGGACCGCCGTCTCCTCCATCCGGGCATCGAATGCCAAAGTGATCGTTGTTTTCTTCGTTGTTTTGCCGATCGGCGCGGGCCCTCGCACCCCCCCTCGCCCCCCTCCATGAAGCAGATCTTGGCTGTTTTGGGGGCGCTTGTTTCAGGCAGGTGGAGTCTCTTCCACAGGACGCACGATTGCAAACCGTCGCGTCAAGTAGAGGTCTGGAGCCAGACCCCCCCCTTCCGCCCAAAGTCGAAACGCCGAATAAAAAAACGTTGACACATGATGAGTTTGCCCCTTGTTCTCCTGGCTGGTTCTGCTGGTGCCCACCCACCCCAGGGTCCCGCCGCCGTGCTTTGTTGACGACGTCGACTCCCAGGAGTCTCGGCCCATTCCCCGGGACCAGCTTTTCATCCCGAGTCGTTTCTGGACGGCCCCGAGGGCCGTCCAGGGCCCCCAGAGGCCGAACACGCAGGTTCATGGTCCGTCGCGCTTGCTCCAGGACTCCAGGGTTCAGTCGGGCGTGTCCCTCTACAAGAAGAAAATCCAAAAATAATTTTGAAAAATAGTCTGGGTACGATTTGTGCTTACTTGGTTTGGATGTTTTTCATTGTTTCTTAGCTAGTTGTTTTTAACATTTCTTCCTAAATCCGCCTGCAGGAGGACATGCCCGACCGAACTCCAGGGGGGTCCTCCGGGCCCCCAGCCGCCTGCAAGCCCCGTCCCCAGACTCCCGCCGCCATGAACTTCTCATGACGTCGACCCCTAGCGGTCGATCTGGGCCCATTCCTTGCGACCGGTTTTGCATCCCGAGTCGTTTTCTGACGGTCCCGAGGGCCGGTAGTGGCCCCCAGAGGCCGAGAATAGGGACAAATCTTCGGCTGGATTTCTTTCATATCTTGTCATGGTTTGTCATGACTTGTCATGATTTGTTCACGACTGGGGAAAAACTCTTCGTCATGATTTGTTCATGACCCGAGCGGGTCTGGGAGCCCCGTCGACAGCCTCGGGGGATGTCCCTGGCCGCGCGGGGGCTGCGGCGCCTGCACCGGGAGCTCCGCCGCGGCGCCGGGCGCGGCGCCGCTCGCGGCGTTGCGGGCGGCGCGGCTCCGCCCGGGGACGCGCGCGGCCCCGCGCCGTGGGTGGTGTCGGCGCAGGCGCACGACGTCGGCGAACAGGCCCGCGTCGGGCGAGCCCAGACCTCCGGCGATGTGACTCCAGTCCTCCTCCTCCTCCTCCTCCTCCTCCTCCTCCTCCTCCTCCTCCTCCTCCTCCAGCTCCTGCTCCTCCTGCTCCAGCTCCTCCTCCTCCTCCTCCTCTCCCCCTCCTCCCCCTCCTCCTGTTACTCCTGCTCCTCCTGCTCCTGCTCCTCCTCCTCCTCCACCTCCTCCTCCTCCTCCTCCTCCTCCTCCTCCTCCTCCTCTCCTCCCCTCCTCCTCCTGGCCTCCTAGATGGGGTCGGAGGAGATGGGGTAGGAGGACCGCGCCGCATCGCCGATGCATCGGCGACGCGGCTCGTTGTGGAGCATAGTGCTTTCCACGCTGGCTCGGCGATGCGGCGAGATCCTCCGACCGCATCTAGGAGGCCTCTAGTCGGGCACGTCCCTCACCAGGATAAGTTTTTGGAGAATAGTCAAGTCAGATAGTCTAGTGACGATGTTGCGCGTTGTTTGGCTATGTTTGGACATGTGTTGCGCTTCTTCCAAAACCCGCCTGGAGGAGAACATGTCCAACCTAACGATACAATTCGTTCGATGCGGACGTCTCTCCTCGACCCCCAAGGCCGCCCGAAGGGGCGCGAAGACAGTCGCGCTTCGCGCGTCGCGGCCTGGACTGGAGAGCTGCCTTTCCCCACAAGGGGGGGGGGCAGGGCGAGGGCGCGAGGGCGCGGAGATAGCCGTGCGTCGCGAGTCGCTGGGCGCGACGTGCGCGAAGTGCGGCGCCCTAGATTTGTCAGCCTCTGGAGCCCGCCCTCGGGCTCTGGGGCCATAGAATCAGGAGGAAAAGAAACACACAGACACAATGAATCCTCGATTCCCCAGAAAATGTGGGAAACTATGGGGAGTGGGGGGGGAAGACAGAAGCCCAGAAAGTATGGGAAAATATTGGGATCTGTTTCTATGTGTGTGTGTATTTATTTGTGTGTCCTGGGGCCCCTTCATAGAAACGGACCAAGATCGAAACGTTGCCCCGAGGAAAGGGGTCGGGACCCTGGGGCCGCGGATTGGAAGAGGCAGCTCATCGGATGGATGCTTGGGGAAGACGAGTGGGGGGCCTCTTCGGCGCCAGGCTTTCGGGCGGTTTCGGCGCTGCTCGACGGTTTTCCAACATCGTGATGTTCCCCGGCAGCTGCACCTCGCAGAGCAGAGAGCGTTCCGCGGGTGCCAGAATCGTTCCGAACGGTCGCCAGAGATCCGAGTTATGATGCGAAAAACGCGTAAACCAGACGACGAGGGCTTTCGCGTCGGACGGACGCGGGGGATATTGAGAAAGAAGGGGTAAGGGAATATGTTGCGTGGAGCTGGTTTCAGCCCGCCGCTGGGCGCTTCCCTCGGTGCATGTGCGCCTCCAGCGCCGGGAGGTACTGTTTTCCAGGCGGCTTAAAAATGGTGCCCTGAGGGATGGGGGCCGAAGGGCAGGAAGGGGACCAGGGGTGCAGTTACATTGTTTGAAGCACTTCGTCCTGAGGTCCCCATCTCTCAGAACCCCATCTTTGAACCACCGAGACTCGCGTCAGTCGGCCCGCTCCTTTTCGTCGGGGAGGGGCTCAGTGTTCCTTAATTGTATTACCGTCTGTGGCTTCCTATCGGAATTCGAAGTTTAAACTACAGGGGCCTCGTTTCGAACGGCAGCGCTTCGAGTGTCATCCCACTTTTCTTGCTGGCCCCCTCTCCGGCCGATCCGAAGAAAGGCCCGCAGGAGCATCCACGAGCACGGCTTCACGGTGCTCGGACCGCCGAATCTGCACACGTGAGCATGAGCTGCTGGAGTTCTGCGCGGGTTTCTCGGGGAGGCGCTGGACTCCTCCTTGGCGCGCGCCTCTGGCGCCGCCCCCAGCACTCGCCTGCGGGCCAGGGAAATGGGGGGGATCCAGCGCCGCCCCGAGAAGTCCGCGCGGGGGTTAGGAGGGGGGGGAGGAGGAGGAGGAGGAGGAGGAGGAGGAGGAGGAGGAGGAGGAGGAGGAGGAGGAGGGAGGAGGAGGAGGAATAGGAGGAGGGGGAGGAGGAGGAGGAGAGGAGGAGGAGGAGGAGGAGGAGGAGGAGGAGGAGGAGGAGGAGGGAACGGAACAGGAGGAGGAGGAGAAGAGGAGGAGGAGGAGGAGGAGGAGGAGGAGGAGGAGGAGGTCCGAGGGGTGGAGTACCGACCCCCCGGTCCCCCATCACCACTTAAGGGGGCCTGGGCGCCCTGGTCTGCCCCTGAGCGTCCTGTCTCGCCAGCGGGAGCCTGCCGCCGATCTGTCGGTGATGCATCGCCGATCCCAAGTCAGTTCGGAGGCCTAGAGTCAAGTCGGGCCTGTCCCTCTACAGAAGGAGTATTCAAAAATAGTAAAACAAATAGTCTAGAGACCATTTTTTGAGTACTTTTTGAGCATTGTTTGAACATGTTGTTGATTCCTTTTTATTTGTCATCCAAAATCCTTCTCTAGCAGGACAGGCCCGATTCAAGCCTAGAGGTTGACACCAGCACCAATATCGGCGGTGTGCCTTCACCGAGGGAAGATGATCCCCATCTCGGTGATGGTGGTCATATCCGGGCTTCCGAGGTGGCCGAAACATTACCACCAGCATCAAAATCCGTGATCATCTTCCCTCGGTGGAGGCAACCCCCTGTGTTGGTGTTGGTGCCCATTTCCAAGCTTCCAATCAATGTCCCCCCATGGGCCAGCCCCAGGGAAAGGGGATCCAGCACCGACCCAAGGAAGTTATCGCGCATGCTCTGAAAGTTTATGTCTTCGTCCAGGATCAGCGTCGTCGGGCCTCTCCCATCCCCAGTGGTTCTTTAGCTCCGCCAGCCCCCCCCATCGAGGTGGTGGACCCTGTCAAGGCTTTCTCAGTGGTGATGGGGATCCGGGATAGGTCTAACGATGATCTGGGTTTGCCACCGCTTTGTGAGGGTTCCTGGATGCATTTTGACGGTCCAGTCTTCGTGAGATGCTTGTAGCTGGAGTTCGTTTCAATTTTCAGCCTAGATACCGCGATTGTTCTGCGGCCCCGTCAGGCAAATCCGAGCTCCCTAAACGCGAGCCTTATCCAGACACCCGATGCTTTGGTTTGTTCATCGCGAGGTCCCTAGAACTCCCGACCATTGCCCCAGGGCTGGCCTTTCACTGTGTGGATCGTTCTTTGACTGTCCTGGAGACTGCGAGGGCCTCTGGAGGCTTAAAAAAGCGATAACATTGTGCCGTGCTGCTTGTTCAAGACACCGGATGTCTCGCTTTGGATGCAGCTAATGGGAGGTTAAATTCAGCATCGGTGCTGGTATATCCGTGGTTGAAAGCTGGCCCAATCCGGCAAAATCCCGTGCAATTACGCTGAATTCGCTTAATCGGGCTGAACCGTGGGCCTGTAATCCAGCCAAGTCGGGTTTCATGGTCCCTTATTCGGGCTTAATCGACCGTAATCGGTTACTAGCCCTAATCGTTGTCACGAAGACCTCCCAGAAGTTCTCCCCCATGAGGGGGGTGATAATCAGAGGGGGGTGATCTGATGGCGGGAGCCATGATATCTCTGAGATCACATCCGTTGTTGTTTCAGTGTGTCTCCTGGCCCCTTCTGAATCGCGCACATGCCTCGGGCCATGATTTGCGAGCCCCTCTCTTGGACGCCCCCCACTTGGACGTCTCCGGCAACCTTCTCTCCCCACAGGTGCTCCCCAGGCTCGTGCCCCTCGAGCTGCTGGATGAGCTCCGCGCCAAAGTGTCGGGCCGCGTCCGCGAGGCGTGCGCCCGCGCTCATCGTCGTCGTCGCCGCCGCCGCCGCCGCCGCCGCCGCAGCCGCCGCCGCCCCCGCCGTCGTCGTCGTCGTCGTCGTCGTCGTAGTTGTAGTCGTCGCCGCCGCCGTCGTCGCCGCCGCATCCGCCGCCGTCGTCGTCGTCGTCGTCGTCGTCGTCGTCGTCGCCGCTGCCGCCGCCGCCGCCGTGGCCGCCGCCGCCGCCGCCGCCGTGGCCACCACCGCCGACGCCGCCGCAGGTGCCGCCGCCGCCGCCTCCGCCGCCGCCGGCGCCGCCGCCGCCGCCGTCGTCGTCGTTGTCTGAGATCCGACGTTGCGGCATGATTGCGCCATCGCAAAAGATTAGATCCGGAACCCTACAACCCATACTCTTCGCTGCAATCTCCAGCCCCGAATCACATGTGATGGCCCAGGGGCCCGAAAGGAGGCAATCTCGCCCGCTGCGACAGCAAAATTGCGACGCCAGACCCTCGGGTTCATGGCCATCGTGTCGTCATCGTCGGCGTCAGCGTCGGCGTCGGCGTCGTCGGCGTCGGCGGCTGGCCGCGCCCTCGAGGTGGAGGGCGAGCTGAGCGCGCGCGGCGTGCGGCTCGGCGTCGGCAGCGCCGCCGGCTTCCACGAGGTGTGCCTCCGCTCCCCTGGGCGGCTGGACGTCCCGTGCGGCAGCGGCGTGGTTCCCGACAGGGTGCTCGACGCCGTCCAGGATCGGTCAGGAGGGGAAAAAACACACAGACACAATGAATCGTCGATTCCCCAGGAAATATGGGAAAATCCGGGAAGTGGGGGGGAGACAAAAACCAAGAAAATCTCGGAAAAGATGGGGGATCTGTTCACTTGTGATTGTGTGTGTTCATTTGTGTGTCCCAGGGCCCCTTCAATTGGGTCGGGCGATGTGCCTTGAGATCCTGGTGCTCAACTTGGTGCGTCAAGCTCGGCGGCGAGCGAAAGGGAGAACCGAGAAGGAGGAGGCCTCCCCAGGAGGCGGCGGGACCTCTCAGAGGCCCTCGTGCCTTCCGAGAAGCTTTTCTGTCTTCGGGGAAGGCGTAGAAACCTTTTCAGAAGGCTGGGGGACTTCCGAGCCTTCTGACAAGGGCCGCCCTTTCGCACTTCCCCTCCAGGCGCGCCGCCAACAACTTTGTACGTCAAACACCGGGTGGTGCGTGGACTAAGTTGGGTCCATGCAAAAGAAGATCGCGCGTGGAGCTACAACACATTGCGTGCAGTACGTGGGGAATGGCAGTGGGAATGCCGCTGCTGTCGTGCTACCGGAAATGCGCTACAAAACCCGCGCCCAGTCCAGGCAAATTCCTGATAGGGCCTGCCGACCCTCCTTGTTGAAGCAGCCGTCAGAGGGGTCAGGGAGCCGGCAGCGAACGTGCAGGTCCTGAGATCCTGGCGTCGCACTTTTTCCCAGCCATCCTGTGTCGGGTCCTCGCTTTGACGAGACAGCGCCCCGCGTCCATCCCACCTCCTCCCGCTCACTCCTCCCGTCCCTGCCCTGCCTCTGCCCTCCGCATACCTTCGCAGCACACCTCTCGCCAGTTCTGTGGCCCCACAGGGAGCTCCACCGAAGGCCCCCGTGGCCGTCCTCGCATGCGTTTGTTCGCGAATGTTGGCACACCCCTCGCATGTTACGTGGCGCCATAGGGAACTCCACCGAAGGTCCCAGTGGCCGTCCTTGTAAGCGTTTCCCCCCCCATTCTGGAACACCCCTCACACGTTACGTGGCGCCATAGCGAGCTCCACCTAAGGCCTGAGTGACCGTCCTCGCATGCGGTTCCCCGCCCATTTTGGCACAACCTTAGTAGATTTCGTGGCCCCACAAGGAGTTACACCCAAGGCCTCGGTAGCGGCGTTTCCGGTCCCGTGCCGCGAACGACCCGCGCGCGTCGCTTGATTTTTTTTGTCCTGGCGACCAGCACGCGTCGCGGGGACTCCCCTGCGCTCCGCCTCTTCGCGGGCGACTGGCTTGCACCTTGCGGGCGCCAAAAAAAGCAGACTCCCCGACTCTCGATCGCTCGTCGCCCCTGCCTCCGCATGCCCGCACTCGCCCTCATCCCCCTCCTCCGCGCTTCAGTCCTTCTGCTGCGGCCCCCCTCCTGCTTCTCACCTGGCCCGCGATACTCCCAGCTGCATATGGTCGGGCCCTTCGCCAGGATCATTTCACCATGGGCGACTTTGCCTTGCTGCGTGCCCCCGGACCATCACGGATCGCTCCGGCCCGACATATGCAGCAGAAGGAGTTCTGGTCGTGAATTTTCTTTTGTTTGGCACGCGGGCGCGCGGAGACGAGTCGAACGCCGTGCAAGCCAGGGCGGGCCGCGCCGAAGCAAAGGGAAAAAACAGCGAAGCGAACGGCGCCCGTCACAGCGGAACGGGGCACGACGCAGCCAGAATGTGGTCGTGAATTTTCTTCTTTTTTGGGGGTCGCAGCCGCAAGCGAAAGCGCAGGCGGCGAGAAGGAAGTCCGGGCCAACGGGCAAGCTTAGTTAGATACAAGGCGCAGCGCAAGCCGGCCGGGCCAGCCCTCAGAGGCAGCAACTGCGGCAGCGGCGGCGGCGGCAGGTCGTGAATGTTCGCGATGTTGCATTTTGTTTGCAACGTCGGAACTCGGAGATCAGGACGGAAAGCTTTCGGTCCGCTTTCAGCTTTGGGCCCCTATTGGGAGCCTTGGACCGTCGAAACCCTGTTCGGCATGGAAAGCCGGGCCCAGGACAGAGAGATCCAGAGTTGTGGGAAATTCACTACGTCGGATGCTTTGAAGAGGCTTCGGCGCCAGGGTTTCGGGCGTTTTCGCCGGTTCTTGCCGGTTTTCAAGCCTCGCCGGGGTGCTCCAGCAGCTGCGCTTCGCCAAAAGCGTGCTGGGGGTGACTGGATCGTCCCGAACAGCTGCCGGAGGCCTGAATTTTGACCCGCAAGCCAGACGATTGGGATCATTCGGGTCGGACGAAAGGTTTGGGGGGGTTGGAAAGGGGGGGGGGGGCAATCTGTTGCACGCAGCTGGGTTCGGCATCGCCGTTGGGCGCAATCCTCTATACATTAGCGCCTCTGGCGCCAGGACGCGCCAGAGAAACCAGCACTGCGTTTGTTCATTCGCTACCCCCCCTTTATCGATTGCAACATCTGTGTCGATGTTTACTGCGTGTGGCCCGCGACCCATCGATATCATCAAGCACGCTTTGGAGCATCTGTGGAGGTGGTTCGGCCATGTTCGTGCCCACCGCCTGCACTGCAAGCAAGACCCCGATGTATCCGCGCAGCTCTTGATTGCCGTGTCTTTGACTTTTGAGCTGGATTCATCGCGTTGGTTGTCATCGGTCATTGCCGTCGTTGCCGTGGGGCAATCGGGTTGACCCAAAAAGGGGTCCAGCGACAAGGGGGTGGTGCAATAGATTCGGTGCAATAGATTTGTGGGGTTGCAATGCACTTGGGGCGTGCAATACATTCTGGGGCGCAAATTTGTTCCTAAATTTTCGCGCGCAATACATTACTTGCAGTACAACGCCATACAATTCTCCGGCGCAGTACATTTGCAATACGATTACCCCAAATCTACTGCACCACCCCCTTCCAGCTGGACCCCCTCTTGGGTCACCCAAGCTCTGGTCGGAGAGTGACTCGACGGTGCACCGCGTATGTATTTTCTGCCCTTCCAGCTGCTCGCCTCGCCGGGTTGCTATCCGAACGCAGCGCGAAGTGGCGGACCTTCTGCGGACACCCCCTTCCAGCTGGACCCCCTTTTGGGCCGCCCAAAGGCAGAATCAACACGCCTTGGGACATGCCATGGGCTGCCTGTGCAGAGCCACACGCTCGAGCCGAACATCCTGTGGTGTTGGGTCCTCGTTTTGAAGAGACGTCGCCCCGCGTTCCTCTCCTCCTCTCCTCCTCCTCCTCCTCCTCCTCCTCCTCCTCCTCCTCCTCCTCCTCCTCCTCCTCCCCCTTCCTCTCTCCTCCCGTCATCATCATTATCATCATCATCATCATCATCATCATCATCATCATCATCATCATCATCATCATCATCCTTCCAGGACGTCGCCCGGCGAGCGCTGGACCGAGGCGACGGCGTCCGGAGCACCTGCGTGAACGTCTGCCTCGTCCGCGGCGAACCAGGGTGCCCGCCGCAGATCTGGCACTCCGACTCCACGCACCTGTCGCGGGAGCACAGGGGAGGAGGAGGAGGAGGAGGAGGAGGAGGAGGAGGAGGAGGAGGAAGAGGAGGAGGAAGAGGAGCAGGAGGAGGAGGAGGTGGAGCAGGAATAGGAGCAGGAGCAGGAGCAGGAGCAGGAGCAGGAGAAGAGGTGCCAGTGCCGCTGCCCTTGCCTCGTGTTCGCCTTCTTTGGGCCTCGAGGCCCTCGCCACCACGGCTGGATTCGCTCCGAAATCTGGTCAGAGCACTCGGGGAGGGGTCCGGGGAGCTTTGGCCTCGGTATCTCTCGAGCCCCCCGTAGGAGCACGAGCCGCCGTCGGTGTTGAACGCCATCCTGGCGCTCTCCGACGTCGGCCCTGACGACGGGCCTACCGAGGTGCTGCCCGGGTCCCACAGGCCGGGAATGCCCCAGCTATGAGTAGAGGTGTTCAGCGACTTGGCACAAGTCAAGGCGCGGGGTTTTGGTCGCTCTCGGCTTCCAGGGGCAATTGTCGGGCCTGGGGACCGGCAAAAAGGTACTCGGGGTGAAGATCCAGCCCATCGGGCAAGGATCGGGACTTCGGATGGAGACATCGGATGGGGCAACATTGGCAAGACAGCCTCACAACCTGCGGCGTCTGCACGGACCTCCAGTAGGCCCCTCCTCATCCCGAGGGCCTTGGCCCGCGAGTGTTCCACCAGGAATCTTTACCTTCCCCTCCGCAGCGGCATCTCTGGCCAGACAGACCTCCCCGATCCTGGCGAGGCCGACGTGGGGCCCAACATCGGTGCATGCTGCACTGGGCAGGCCAGGAGGGCACACGCCGATCCCGCAGGCTCATGGTGGGCCTGGCGAGGATCGCGTGGAGGGTTGGCTTCCCCCGCACAGGCTGACGAACCACCTGCGCCCGGAGGCCAGCTTCGACGGCAGCATCGTGTACCAGAACCCCGAGTGGAGGGAAAGAAAGCGATGACCATGACTAAACGCGGAAACGTCGGTGTCGATCTTGGTCATCGTCCACCTTGGCCACCGCCAGTTCGCGGAACTTCCCCGCGAACCCAGCGACATCCAGCAGTGACCATGACCGAGATCGGCGTCGATCGGGCGGGGCCAGGACCAGAATACATCGTTCCATAACGTGCCGGGACGCTCTCAGGGCGCCCCAGAGCGTTCTGGAACGGCCGCGGCGCCCGAAACATCCTCCAGACCCGCCGGACTTCAGAGACCCCCGATTGATCCCTGTTCGATTTTGTCTTGGTCTGGGCTTTGTCTTGGTCGACGAGATCCCGCGATGGCTACGGGTTGCGCACAAACAGCCCCCTAAGGTAGCCCCATCTGAGCGACGCAAACAAACGGGGTCGCCAGCGCCGACATTTGCGCGTAAATTGCCCGCGCAGGGTCGCGCCTAAGCGCCTTCGTCTGGAATGTGGCGTGTCGCGCTGGCGGCGCGCGTAAGCCGCCGCGCAAGGTCGCCACGTCATCTCGCGTAAGACCTGGTTTTGAGCGTCGCGCATCTGGTAACGTGGCGGCGGAGGAGGAGGAGGAGGAGAAGGAGGCGGAGGAGCAGGAGGAGGAGGAGGAGGAGGAGGACCAGTGTAAAACGAGGAGTCATCAACGATGTTGGAATTAACCCTCCCTCCAAGCTCCCTCTTCATAGACCCCCACAAGGGTTCATTTCCATTGAGGGAACTGCCTCGTTGGAAGACAACCGTTTGAAGATCCTGAAGCATACCAAAACTTTGTTCTCGGGATCCCAACGCTACGTATCAACCTGACCGCTGCGTCTTAACGGTCCAGAATCGCTCCAGAGTGTTATTTTTCGGACTGCAACACCGCGAACCAGCATAATTGCTGCACACGCATAATCCTGAATCCTTCCACGAAAAAACAATTTCTGGTACGTCGATCATGGGAGTCCGCGGAACTCTTGCAAATGTTGCAAACGAGTGCGCGCGGCGCTAAGCCGAGAGCCACATATTTAAAAGGAACCGCCCTCAATCCGTGAAACGTTTGCAAATGTTTAGAACACATGTGGGCGGCGCTCAGGCGAGAGCCACATTTTGAAGACCGTCCGCCCTCAATATGTGAAATGTTCTGCAAATGTTTGAAACGAATGCGCGCGGGGCTAAGGCGAGAGCGACATTTTGAAAGCCACCCGCCCTCAATCCGTGAAGGTCCTGCAAATCGTTGAAGCGAATGTGCGCGGCGCTAATGCGAGAGCCACATTTTGAAAACCACCCGCCTTCAATCCGTAAAACTCTTGCAAATGTTTACAACGAATGCGCGCGGCGCAAAGGCGAGAGCCACAGTTTGAAAACCACCCGTTCGCAATCCCCGAAACTCTTGCAAATTGTTACAGCGAGTGTGCGCGGCGCTAAGGCGAGAGCCACATTTTGAAATCCACCCGCTCTCAACCCGTGAAACCCATGCAAATGTTTCAATCGAATGTGCGTGGCGCTCAGGCGAGAGACACATTTTGAAAACCACCCGCCCTCCATTTGTGAAGCTGTTGTCACTTTTGAAGCTTCAGGGTCACAAGTCATAAGAAAATCTCAGGCGAAACGCCCGGCCCGCCCTCAAAACTGGCCTCGGGGTGCGACACGGAGAAGTTATCTATAAGGAAAACGAATGAAGGAGGAGGGAGAGGAGGGAGGAGGGAGGAGGGAGGAGGGAGGAGGGAGGAGGAGGGAGGAGGAGGAGGAGGAGGAGGAGGGAGGAGGGAGGAGGAGGAGGAGGAGGAGCTGGCCTCAACAGGCCCCCCGAGCAGTCTCAGCCGGCCTCCGCAGACCCCCCGAGCAGTCGGGGCGGCCTCCACGCCCCAGCCCTGGGGCGCGGGGGCGCCGCCAGAGGCCGCCGCCAGAGGCGGCGCCGTGGCGTTGAGACCGCCAGGGGCTTCCAGCCCCGGCCTCGTCCTCGGCATCGCTCGGGCGTGTGCACGTCTTCCTCGGCGAGGATCGGGGGCCCCCAGACGGGGTGGTGACCACACCGTGTGGTGAGTCGGCGTGGGGATTCGGGGTCACCGCACGGTTTGGGGACTCGGGTCGTTCTCCGAGGACGTCTCGGGCGATTGGGGAATCCGAGGTCCCAAGACCGTGCGTTGAGGGACCGCGCGGTGAGGTTTTGGAGGATTTCGAGGTCACCGCATGTTCTGTCACCGCAGCGTTGCGGGATTCCATAATTTTTTCCTCGGCGAGGACCATCGAGGAGCCTCCTGGATCCTCGAGCAAAGACAAGCGCGCACGAGAGCGGAGAGGGCACGGGGGGTATGGACGCCCCAGCCATGGCGAGTCGTCTGAGCTGACAAGATCCCGCGACATCCCAGACATCCGCCGATCTGATTTTTTCGATCCGCGGCCCTAGAGGTCCCGACCCCTTCCCCCGGGGTGGTTTTTCGTCCCCGGGTCTGTTTTTCATGGTCTCCCGCCTAGCTCTTAACCAGAAGAGGCTCGCTCCCGACCCGCAGACCAAAAAAAATGTTCATGGTCCCCAGGCCCGATGACAGGCCCTGGAGGCCGAACCCCCCCAAAAAATGCCAGATTGAAAGGATCATATCTTCGGATCTCTGGGATCTTACAGTCAACGCGCCTAGTAAGGACGCGCGCCTTCATCCAGGACACCCTTGCGTCCTTGCCTCTGTGGCCCGTCCTTTGCCGTTTTCACTGGTCGCCGCCGCCCAAGAATCCCAACTTCAGCCTCCAAGGGTCTTGCGTCCTTACCACGCGTCCTTAATATACGTTTTGACTGTACCGGTGGTCGTCGTCTTCCTCCCCTCGAACGAGAACGGACCCGAGCTGATCGGCTCGGACGCCGCCCCGGCGCTGGCGACCCTGCCCGCGGGCTCGGTCCTGATCTTCGACGACCGGGTCCTCCACCGCGGAGGCGCCAACGCCTCGGGGCGCGACCGGGACACCTTTCGGGCCAGGAAACGACCGGCGGCGTGTTTTGTGTTGGTGTGTTTCTGTTGTTGTGTTTGTTGTTGCTTGTGTTTGCTGTGTTGTTGATGTTGTTTGTGTGTTGCGTGTTGTGTGTCGATGTTCGTTTTGCTGTTCGTTTTGAGTGTTTCTGCTGTTCGGGAATTTCAGCCACGCGCAGAAGGGGGGGAGGGGGAAGGGGGGAAGGCTTCTCAGAAGCGCCCCTGCTTCTTAGAAGACACGGGCCTTGCTTATAGATGTAAGGCCGGGCCCTTCTAAGAAGCAGCCTCCTTCTAAGAAGCCTTCCCCCCTGCCCCATACCCCCCTGTGCGCGCCGCCAGAAAATTGTGTTTGCTATTTCGTTGCCCGGACCGCTCGAGCGCGCGCGCGGACAGCCTCTGCCGCGCTGCGACGTAAGACGTGTTTTCTTGTCTGCTGTGTGCAGTCTTTCCGGCCAGGCTTCGGGGCCGTCGCGAGACTATACTCAGGAGGAGAAAAGACACACAGACACGATTAATCGTCGATCCCAGGAGAATATGGGAAAATATCGGAAGTGGGGGGGAAGACAAAACCCAGAAAATATGGGAAGATATGGAGCATCCTTCTATTTGTGTGTATTCCTTTGTGTGTCCCAGGGCCCCTTCATATACTTGGGATGAAGAGCCGGTCTCCGAGGAGGGGCCCAGACCTCTGGGGCTCCACGTCTTCCCGAAAAAGGCGTGACGTCGCGGGCCTGGGATGCCCCCAGGGCGCTTCGGCGGCCTCTGGCGGCCGTCGGCGGCCTTCCCTCAGATCCGGGCGTCGCGATGCATCCCACACCGGGCGAGCGCGGCCCGGGGGCCATCACAGATAGAGCTGGCTCGAGGAGCGTTCCAGGAAGATGGTTCGATCTGCATGTCCAGAAGAAAAGAGCGCAGAAGAAACAACACTGACACGTGTTAAAGAGAGAGAGTGTGGTCAGGTCCAGGGCTCTGGCCGTGATTGGCCTCGACGTTGCATATCTTATGGACTGTCGGATCTCGGGTGTCGCCAGCGGCCCTCGGCGGCCGTCGCCAGCCCTCAGCGGCCTTTTCCGGGGTTTTCCGGCCGCGGTGAAGAGCCACGGCGCCGTGGACAGAAGGACCACGAGGATGACCACGAGGAGGAGGAGGAGGAGGAGGAGGAGGAGGAGGAGGAGGAGGAGGAGGAGGATTCTTGGGCCCATCCCGTTCTTGTGTTCAGCTGCGGGCACCTCTGGGGCCTTTGGGGGGCCCAGAACGGGCCGACAGGAACGACAGGTTCACGGTTCACGGACACATCGTCGCATTGTTGTTTATATTTTTTCGCGTCTCTGATTCTCATCAAGGTGAAGAGGGTCTTGTTTCCCGCAGGACGTGGTTTGCTTCTCCTGGCGGCGCGACGACTTCGAGATCAGCGAGTACTACGAGGCGACGCGGTCGTTGTGGAAGTACGACCACCGAGGCCTCGCTGCGACCGTCCGCGCCGAGTTCCCTGGGCTCACGAACCGCCCGGGCAAGCCCGAGGCCA